TTTGAGACTGACTTTGTTTCATTGTTTCCTGAAACCACAGGTGTTGAACCGATGGGGATACTATCCACTCATTCTAATCGGATCATGGGCATTCGGTACTATTAACCGAATTCATGATTTCATCGAGCCAGGCCATAAGATCTTCTGGCTCTCAGCTCTTGACGTGGGAACAGCTGCACTAATGGTAACAAAACCATGCAACAAACTCATAATTATAAAATTCTCCACAGACCATCTTTACTCAGTCTGAATGTTGTATTCTCAGGGCTTGTTCAATTCAATAGCATATGGTTTCAACAGCTCAGTGCGCAAAGCAATCTATGAAAGACTGGAACTGTAAGTTATCAAGATTCTCTTTGGTATGCTATATTATTATTCCCAAAGAATCAATGAAGCGTGGTTGCCCTGAACTGAAATCCTTGGCACTGCTAGGTTCTTGCCGGAGCGGATATATCGATGGCTTCCAAGCAATTTAAGACCAAAGAACCACCATCTGATAATGCACCAACAACAACAGCAGCGAAGTGAAATGGTCTCGCTAAAAACGGAGGAGCAGCAATGATCACTAACTTTTTCAACATTGTATTTTGTTGACCGATAACAAGAAGTTTTGCTATTATGATTGATGATAATAGCAATTTGGATGGAGATTGGTAAGTTTTTGCCTTTATGAGTCCCAATGTGTTCTTTCTATCTCTTAGATATGGTGAAGGGGATGCACGAAAATGCGTCCATGTATATGAATCATTCTTTGGGAGCACGAATTTGACAATCATTATTTTTTATTTTCTTATGCTAACATGTTCTATTATTGCAGACACAATCTTGCCTAAACCCAAACCAAATTAAAAAAAAAACTAACACTCATACAATATTCATGTAACCTCCAAAGCTTCGCCTTTTTGACAAAATCCATTTATTAAAAGTGAAAGTGATTAAACTGGGACTTTTATCTTCAATCAGAGGGAAAATCTGTGTTCTAAAAGTGAGCGCTTTTTGCACCAAGGCGCACCGTGGCAACGGTCCTAACGCCAGTGACCTCCGAGATATGGTAATTCTGCAAGGCGTACTTTGACTCAACGCCTCTTTGTTTCTATTAAAACACACTTTGACCGAACCATAAAACATCTTGGAAATACTATTACAACTACTTTGACCAATCTTTAAAAAGGATATCTACAACATTACGCTTCGATCCATAGAGGTTTAGGTGTTTTGAAATTGAGATTGAATTTTAGCGTTTTTACTTGTAAAGTTTTTGTTTTAGATTACACCAACTAAAATAAAAGCTGCTCAAGGAGAACATAGAACCCAGCCGCTTGTAAGTGGGAAGACGATGAAAATCAATGGTGGCTGGAATGAGTGTTGCATGAAAACGATTACAAACAAAAAAAAAGGTAATAATAAACAACCGGATTCAAACCATATTGCAAAGAGGTAAAACATAATACCAAAAGCATAATTCTGATAAATATGAATCTAAACACTATGTGTGTCCATAACAATGATGAACATGAGTTTAAGGGATGGGAAAAAAATCACAACAAACAACCAGATTCAAACCTAACACGGCTGGTCTTTCATCGTTTTGATCCTCCTCTCCTCTGTCGCCTACTTCTTTCCTCCTCCTACTGTGCCGTACTTTTTTCCAATGATTGCATTTCTCCGAAGAATCTCAGGCTTCCTCTCATATGCGACAGCTCTGTTTGCCATTGTGTTCTGTGAAATTTTTTAGAGTGAATATAATTGTGGGGGGAATGAAATGGTGAGGTTTACATAATCAAGACTCACCTATATATATTTGTAGATTCACTGATTTGAAGCACGATGGAAACATTCAATGAAAAATTGTGGAAGAGTGGGGGAGTTGGAGGTAAGAAGACCTTTAATGACATTGATTGAATCCGGTTGAGTTACGTTACGGTGCAGATTTGGAATTGCATGAAGGAAGAAATTAGCTATGAACTCTGGAGAAGCGAAGAAGAACACATGCATAATCTTAGAAGAACACATGCATAATCATGTATAGGAAATGATGCGGTTAAACGGGCTGGACTCTAAGCATTAAAACAAAGGCCGACTATAAAAAATGCCCAAACGAATTGCAGTCTCTATTTTATTTGATGACACACAATTAGCGGAGCTAAAACCCACACAAAGAACATAGTCCAATTTTAATGCAAACTTTGATTTATAAAACGCAGTGGTTTGATGAGGACAAATGTCAAACCCTAATATCTTATTTGATGATGTGGATAAAGGAGATGAGAGATAATGTGTACTTTATACATGGTCGGTCCTGAACTAAAGTCCATAAAACATTGATTTTAGGCGCCAATTTATAGACATACTAAGGGCACCAAATACACAAAACATCCTTTCAGTGCAATGGTTCGTGTATATATATTCTTCTCCAACAATGGCGGGTTCGATAGTACTACTTTCAGTTTTTTTCCCCAAAAGTCTTCCTTTTGAAAACGAGAAAATAAGATGTGATCAAGGAACCATAATTACAGCATTACATTCTAAAAGAATATTAAAAGAAAAGGAAAATTCTTTAAAAATACACAAACTGATTTACATTTGTTAATAAAATACACAAACTATTTTAGATTCCCGTTTAATACATGAACTCATTTTCGCTATCTATTAAATACATAAACTTTTGAAATTCGAAGATTTTACACATCGTTTTTAACGACATTAACTATATTTAACGAATTTATTGACACTGTTAGTATTTAATTAAACACATGTTTAAATTATGAAAAAAAATTTCTTTAAAAATACATGAACTAATTTTCATTTAACTAATAAAACACACAAACATTTTTAGATCCGCGTTTAATACACAGACTAATTTATGTTTTCAATTAAATACATCAGCTTTTGAAATTTGCATTTTACTCATTGATTTAGCCGACGTCAACTATGTTTAGCATGATTTAGACGATGTCAACTATGTTTAACAAAAGTGATGAAGATGTTAGTGGTTAATTAATATGTGATTAAACTGTGAAGAAAAAGTTTCTTAAAAATCATCCATCTAGATTATATTGTTAGTTTTCTTCTTTATTACGCTTTCATACTTTAGATTTTTTAAAATGAAATTTCAAATTTATTGATCATAGTAGAAATAATATATAAACAGCCTAATTTATAATACGAAACTTATTGATCATAGTGTAAATTAACATTGATTAAATCATTATCACTACAATTAAAGCAAAGCATAAGAATAAGAAATACATAATAATAAACTAATTCCAAACTCAAAAAATCGTCTAAAATTACCTAATTTTCTTCGTCGTTTTTCACGACTTAAAAATCGAGAATGAAATAGATTGGAATAGATTACGAGAATAAAATAGATTGGTGTATTTTTTCATGAAATAAACATAGTTTAGAGAATAAAATAGATTGGAACAGATTACAGTGTTAAATTCGAAACTAACTTGAGAAGCTTTGGAGGGTGGGCTTGTTTTTCACATTTTTACCACATGTTTAATTAAAATTAAAGTCATCAACATAGTCTTAAATTAATGTGTAAACTGCAAATTTCAAAAGTTGGTGTATTTAATTAGAAACATAAATTAGCCTGTGTATTAAACGGGGATCTAGAATAGTTCGTGTATTTTTTAACAAATGAAAATTAGTTCGTGTATTTATAAAGAATCTTATTTTTATAATTTAAACATGTGACATGTGTTTAATTAAACACTAACGGTGTCGACAAATCCGTTAAATATAGTTAGCGCCGTTAAAAATGATGTGTAAAATCTTCGAATTTCAAAAGTTTATGTATTTAAAAGGTTACGTAAATTAGTTGTATATTAAACGGAGATAAAAAAATACTTCGTATATTTTATTAGCAAATGTAAATCAGTTCGTGTATTTTTAAGGAATTTTTCCTAAATGAAAACCTGATTGTTTGTTTTAATCTTAATAATTTTTATAGTTTAGTTTTATTATTCTTGGCCATTTTCTGAAATATCTGTGTCATCCACTTTTGGTAAGTGTAGTTGCAATTAATGCATCTCTAATCTTCGATGTAAGTCTCATTTTCTCCATCTTGTGATTGTTATAACCTGTTTAAAGTTCTAAAATCTAAACAAACATAAGATTTAGTATAAATTTGATTTTTCTTTCTGAACATCATAAAATCCAATAAAATTGGCAAGTTGAAATTAATTTTAACTTATATTTTCAAAAATATTAAATTGATTTAACTAAAAGTATATCTAAAGCACGCACACATGCATATATATATATATATATATATATATATATATGTGTGTGTGTGTGTGTGTGGAATTTCAAAATTTGAGAAATGAACCATAATTCATGAAGAAATTATTTAAAAAGAAAATATTGATATTTATTTTTATTTTATGAAAGTAAATTAGAATTTCATTACATTTTACATTATTTTAGTGACATAGTTAAAAATTCAGAAAATAAATTATTGTATTAAAGGGTGTCATTTTTCTGTTACGCTTTAAGCGCCAATAGAGTATGGACCGGCACAGACTTTATATAATAAGATATTTTCTATAATATGAATAGTTATTGAACAGATAATAAAAAAAAAAATTTTAAAAAAAATAACAGAAATAATTTATCTGTTTACAAAAAAAAATCATCATAGAAATTTCCATCTTTGTTTTTTTTCTTGTCTGCCAAAAATATATTATTAATCAGCATCAGTTATCACAAGTTGTATTAGAAAAAATGGACACAAATGATAAATCAAACTCACAGATATCCCGGGTTTTCCAAGAAAAAAAAGAAAGAGAATATAAACCAATAGAATAATTAATTGCTAGAGAAGAAGGGAGAAGGAGGAAGCAAAAGGGAAGTGGCGTGTTCTTCTCTCCAATATTCTTCTTCTCCTCCTCAAATCTCAGTCTTATATATATATACATAGAGCAATAGCCATAGCTTCATAGCTCAATCTCAGCCTCCTTTGCCAATCCAACGACCTAATCATAGATTCTTGGATGGTGACGAAGGGAATGCGTGTTGGGAAATACGAGCTTGGGAGGACTCTTGGGGAAGGCAACTCTGCCAAAGTCAAACTCGCTACAGATACCGTTTCAGGCCAATCGTTCGCCGTCAAAATCATCGACAAATCTAGTATCAAACGTCTTAACGTCTCGTTTCAGGTTCGCTTTTTGTCGTTTTCTTCACTTTGCGAGAACTGGTTTAATGGTATATTACAAATTTACAAGTCTTTATCATCTTTCGACTTTGTCAGATTAAGAGAGAGATACGGACACTGAAAGTGTTAAAGCATCCAAATATTGTCAGATTACATGAGGTAATTAAATTATTTGCAATAATGTTATGGTTATCTCCTTGTTATGGTAGACCTGATTTCAGTAACGTTCTCAATTATCAAAAAGATAGTTAGAATAGAGATGATTTCAGTAACGTTCTCAATTTATAAAAAAGATAGAGTTAGAATTCTTTTGACGACGATTTAACATGAAACCTCTGAAACTTTTTTTTGTTTTTTGTTTCTTGCTTGCGTGGAAGTGTAACTTTCTTATAAAGTCATTTTTATTTTTATTTAATTATAGCTCCTTATCTAATTTATTAGTTCATAAACACGTAATCTCTCCTTTCACGTTGCTAAATAGCCACACTTACGTATAATCTATTTCCTTTTAAAATAAGTATATGTTTTCCTTTCCTGGCCTGAATCCCGATCAATAATTGGTTGACGATGGATTTCATGACCACCTGACCAATTTAATTTTGAGGTCGGTCCCAATATATTGATTATTTTGAATAATGACATGGCAATCGTACTCACACAATTGTCTCTATTTTAGCAGTCTTAATAAAACCAAAAAGGCTTGTCCAACAATATATCCAAAAACCGTAGGATTATATAAGGTAATTGTTGCATAATTGTATGATTAAGCATGATTTCTTGTGGTTGCAATCTGTATCTTTTTTTTGACTAAATTGTAATCTGTATCATGGAATATATTATTTTATACAATATGCTTAAGGGAATCTAAATTCGATCAGAAGTGTATATTAGCTGGGTATCAAATTCTGTGTATAATTTAAACTATACTAATCTAAAATCGACCCTCAATTAATTACTTTTATTATTAATGAGCTTTTTTGCTTACTTGTGAAGAAGTTTTTTTTCTTTGTGAGGTCAGAACTTTTTGGTAATCTGTATGTTTAGAACTTGTGAAGAAGTATCTTAAAAGTCTTTTTAATTAGTTGAATATAGACTGTTTCTATTAATTTTTTCAGTCATTCACGTTGCTAAATAGCCACGCTTACTCCTGAGTTTTGGTGGGTCCTAAAGATTGACCATTTGGTTTTGATTATTGATATTGACAATTACAATATCACAATTCACAACTGCCTCATATTTTGGATTTTATATATAATCTTTAATTTAAAACACCCAGAAAAAGTCCAGTCTTCTCATGCATGTAGACTATCATTTAATAAATCCAGTAAAACTCGTCTTTACATTTTTAATTACGTGAAACCCACTTTATATCCAATACTTTGGGTATTCGCATGGATTATTCTTTTTTTTTTCGTTAAAGGGCTTTTGCATGGATTATAATGCTTGTTGACTTCATTTTTTAAATAAGCAAGTATATCATTATTCCAGTTACAAAAAAAAAAGTATATCATTATTCGAATTTTAAATATTACTTCTCTTGCAAGCAAACCAAATAGTTGGGTTTGGACGTTGAATCAATATAGACTTGGTCTACATTTTAGCTTGAAGATGGGAAATTTCCTGATAATTTAAACATATTTTAATGTCGTTGATTTGCCGAGTCTTTATTATCGACTTGCAGGTCCTGGCTAGCAAAACAAAGATCTACATGGTCCTTGAATATGTCACTGGAGGAGACTTATTTGACAGAATTGTAAGACTCATGTATTAACAGTGACAGTTTGGCTAGTTAATCACAAGGTGGGTTTCCAAATATATGCTCTGATGATTCTCAGGTCTCCAAAGGGAAGCTTTCCGAAACAGAAGGAAGAACATTGTTTCAGCAGTTGATTGATGGAGTCAGCTATTGTCATAACAAGGGAGTTTTCCACAGAGACCTCAAGGTCGGTGGTTTACAAGTTTTCTTGACCCATGAAGGTTTTAAACTTTGTCATTACTATTGGTCGCATGATTTGATATTAAATATCACTTGCCGCAGCTAGAGAATGTTCTTCTTGATGCAAAGGGACACATTAAGATCACTGATTTTGGCCTTAGTGCTCTACCTCAGCATTTTAGGGTATTTTCCAATTACATTAAACTATATACAATAGCAGAAAAGGAATCTATCTGTCCAACAGTTTTTTGGCCTTTGACATGTTAGGAAGATGGGTTGCTACATACAGCCTGTGGAAGTCCAAACTATGTCGCACCCGAGGTCCTAGCCAACAAGGGCTATGATGGTGCAGCATCAGATATATGGTCGTGTGGAGTCATCTTGTATGTGATTCTAACGGGATGTCTCCCTTTTGATGATGCAAACCTCGCGGTTCTTTGCCGTAATGTATTGCTATTATTTCGTCCATCCGTTTTCAATTGTTTTTTTTTTTTTGCTAAATATAAATGGTGTCTTTTATTGAGCCAGAATCAGAGTATGTGTTTTATCGATTAGTTTATGTTTACAGAAACATACTCAAAGCTATTGGCTGCCATTTCAGATATTCAAAGGGGACCCTCCAATACCTAGATGGCTATCACAGGGTGCTAAAACCATGATCAAGAGAATGCTTGATCCAAATCCAATAACAAGGATGACAATCACAGGTATTAAGGCCAATGAGTGGTTCAATCATGACTACACTCCTTCCAGTTGTGATGATGAAGATGATGATGCATCCTCAATCCAAGAAGATGTAAGAAAATGTTTCCTTGGTTCTTATGAATCTTGATCATGTGCATTGCCTTCCTCAAAAGTCTTGTCTTCTTTGGTTCTGATGGTGAAGGTATCTGAAGAAGAGAAGAGTCCTTATTCACCAACCGTCATCAACGCCTTTGAGTTGATCGGAATGTCATCTTTTCTCGACCTCTCCGGTTTGTTTGAGATAGAGGTAAACATAAACAGTTCACTCTTGTCCTCATGTACTTTGTTTCACGATGGTTTTGTTGCTCATGATAAAGTGTTTTTTTGGTGTGCACTGGTTTAGAAAGTACCAGACAGGAAAATAAGACTCACATCAAATAGGTTAGCCATAGATGTGTTGGAGAAAATCAAAACAACCCTTATGGAGATGGGTTTCCACGCACAGAAGAAACACACAATAGTGAGAATCTCTTTTGCTCCTGTCTACTACTACTTGAGTTGTTCCAAGCAGTTTAAGTGGTTTCTAAAGTTGAGAACTGATGATGCTTCAGTTAAAAGCAATCCAACAAGAGGGTTATCGAAAAGGGCGAGGCGGGTTATCATTAACCGCGGAGGTTTTCGAGATCATCCCGTTGCTGAATGTGGTCGAACTAAGAATGACACATGGTGATTCATTATTATATGAACAGGTAAAATATTTTTGTAGCAAATAATTTTTACATATCTGTATCTTTTCTTTAGTCTCGACCTAAAACAGCTTACTGCTTTCTTGTTGGTATAGTTGTGCGACAGATTATCCAACGAATTGGGCACATCATCGCAAGTTCAATAGCTTTTCAGGTAGTCAGCAGTAGAAACAAGTGTCGAACATTCGAAGTTTGAGTCCCGGATGAGGGGTTTGTGTATATAAAAACTATATTACCTTGTATAAAATTTTGTATAATATTATTAGCCAAAGCCCAAAAGTATATTCTTTTGTAAACATTACACAATATATAAATCTAGCGTCAACCTAGTGAAATAAATAATATAAAGACTAATTGTCAATGTCGTAAGTTCTCTCTCTAGGCATTTTTCTCTCTAGAGCAACATTTTTTTTCTTGGTTAACTCAACAAGAAAGGCACACTTTTCATCCTTAATCATTACGCTTTTTTGTATCTGTTCTTTCTCAGTCCTTTACTTGATAATCTAAACAAGCTACAAACCTTGCGTATTCCTTCTCTTTTTCAGACACGAAAGTTCTCAACTCTTCATTTTTCCTATTATCATATCATTTTCCATACTTTCAAAATCATGTCTTCCGAAATGGATGAAGCTCTTTTATCACTATCTCTAAACGATGACGATGATTCTCCATTCAACCTCCCAAACCTTCCACAATATTTCGCTACAGAAAGAAATGCATGCAGTCTCATCGGTCGTCTTCTCAACCCAGAAAAGCAGAATCTCGCTAATCTGATCCTAGAAATGCCAAGGAAATGACAGATGGTCAACTGTGTGCGCGGAATCGCCCTCACCAGTGAGAGATTTCAATTCATCTTCATGCATGCACATGATCTTTATGATATTCTTGAAAAAGGCATGCATACCTTTGATGACTGGGGACTTGCGAGAGAAAGTCTCTATCTGGGTCAGAATCAGCAACATACTCGTCAATCACTACACGAAAGAAGCCATCACGGAGTTAGGTGAACTCATAAGCCATGTCCAAATTGTAGCTTTCGATCCGGAGAAATCACAAAGGCAACACTACGTTCGAGTGAAGATACGCATTAAAGTCACTAAGCCACTGAAGAAATCAAGAATCCTCAATCTTCCTGGAGGTGGTCAGACTACCATCTATTATTTCTATGAGAGGGTTCAAAAGTGATGCACTCATTGTCAACGGTTGACACATGCAAAGGAAAGATGTCCTCTCTGGTTGAACCTTAACATGCATGCATCCTCCTTAACTAGATCCGCTCTCACAAAAAGCTTGAAGCAGAAGCCAAATATTTCTGAAGATGACCCTCTTTTCGGAGTGTTAAATGAAAATCAAGGTGGCAATAATCCTCTTTCCGGTCGACCTCGTATTGCGCCTGAAGTTCTTCAGGAAATGCGTAATTACCTTCTCGCCTCAAGTAAAGAAGATCGTCATGTGAGGGAACAAAGAGTCATCTGTAGTGTTAAATAAACTGAGAGCAATCCTGTAACTCAGATAACTACTCTTCAACTACTTCCTCCTCCAATCTTCACAACAGAGACTGACAAAGGGAAAGGAATTGTTTTTGATTATGAAAAGAAGGATCTCTACTCATCTCCTTCTATCTCAGATGGACCACAAACAAAACTCATGGCTTCAGCTATTTCTTCAAGACATACCTTGATCAACTCAACAACTAACGTTTCTGCAGGTTATCTCTTCCGGATGATAAAGGCTTTGTGATTGTCTCTCCAAATGTAGCCGGTCTTGACCATACCAGACTCTCTTTGATTGAGGAAAAAGACAAAAAGAAGCCTCGCTGCTACAAGAAAAAACCGAGCCTCAAAAAGAAGGAGATTGCTGCAACGGAGAGGAAGAAAGACCCAGAGACAGCAGAAACAAAAACAAGCAAGAAAAGGAAGGCAGAAGAAGATTTGGCGGGTGCATCCAAGACAGCAAGGAGCAATGCATCATTGGCAGTCCCAAGGGAGGGACCGCCCAATGCATAATGAGCTTCTTAAGTTGGAATTGTCAGGGACTCGGACGGCCTGAAGAACTGACAATGTAAAGACTCAAGGAATTACGACATACGTACTTCCCTGAAGTGTTTTTCTTAATTGAAACTATGAATCCTAGGAATGCTTTAGAAGATCTCAAAGTTTGGCTAGGTTATGATCGGATGTACACTGTTGACCCCCTCATGGTGAGTGGTGGTCTTGCTCTTTTTTGGAAACGCAGTGTTGATGTAATCGTTTTGTATGCGGACAAGAACCTTTTGGATGTACAAGTGATATATGAAGACAAGCAGTTTTATTTGTCGTGTGTATGGGAATCCAAAACCTGAACTGAGACACATTGTTTGGGAACGTATCAACAGGTTTGGGGACAACAGAACATCATCAAGTTGGTCCATCTTTGGTGATTTTAATGAAATTTTAAATAACTCAGAGAAAATTGGAGGTCCTACAAGTGATTCATCCTTTGCTCCTTTTTCAGAAATGATTGAGGGATGTGGCATGTCTAAACTTCCTAGTACTGGTAATAACCTAACTTGGGGAGGTCTTAGAGGAAATCATTGGATTCAAAGTAGCATTGATAGAGCTTTCGGAAACAAGATTTGGTTTTCCATGTTTCCAGCATCTAACCAAGCATTTCTTGCCAAAAGAGGATTGGATCATCGCCCTGTTCTTATAAAATTAATGTCTTCTCAAGACTCTTATCGAGGCTCTTTCCGGTTTGATCGTAGAATGCTTCATCAACCATTAGTCAGAGAAACTATAATCACTGCTTGGAATTCATCTACTCGGAATAGTCTTTTGTCTGTTTCTTCTCGCATAAGGCAATGTAGGAAGGGATTAAGCCGTTAGAAAAAAGAAAATAAAGCTAATTCTAAGGACAGAATCACTTCTTTACAACAACAACTTGAGGAGGAGGAATCATCTTTTAACCCTTCCTTATCCAAAACCTTGTCACTCAAGAAATCTCTTTCTCTGGCTTGTAGAGATGAAGAGAATTTTTGGATCTGGCTTATAGAGATGAAGAGAATTTTTGGAAACAAAAAAGCAAGGATGATTGGATCCTTCATGGTGATGGTAACACTAAAATTTTCCATACGGCTGTGAAAATTTCCAGGGAAAGAATCATATTTTCAAGATTATTGACAACTAACTCCGGTACCACTCATAGAGCTGAGGCCTCTAAAGCTGAAGTGGCAATTAACTACTTCAAAAACCTCTACAAATCTTCCAATTCAGAAGATTATGCAGAAATTCTCTCTAATCTCCCTTCAAAGGTTCTGAGAGCATGAATCAATCTCTTATTAGTTTAGTCTCTCCTGAAGAAATAAAAGAGGCAGTTTTCTCAATTAAAACCGATAGTACCCCTGGAGCTGATGGTATGTCAGGTATGTTCTTTCAATCCCACTGGGATATTGTAGGAGAACAAATCACCAAAGAGATCAAGGGATTCTTTCAAAATGGCATTCTACCTTCAGAATGGAACTACACTCAAATCTGTTTAATTCCTAAGAAGTCTAATGCCACATCCATGTCGGATCTTAGGCCTATTAGTCTCTGCTCTGTAATGTATAAGGCTATTCCCAAGATATTATCTTCAAGACTCAAGACCTTCTTACCAGATATTGTCTCTCCTTTCCAATCTGCTTTTGTCTCTGACCGTCTCATCTCGGACAACATCATCTTAGCTCATGAATCAGTTCATAGTCTGAGAACGCATGATTATATCTCCAAAAATTACATGGCTGCAAAAACAGATATGTCAAAAGCTTTTGACAGGGTTGAATGGAACTATCTTCAAGCTCTTTTATTGGCTTTTGGGTTTCATGAGATTTGGGTCTCCTGGATCATGACCTGTGTTACTTCTGTCAAGTACACGGTTCTCCTTAATGGTCAATCCTATGGCTGTATCACTCCAGAAAGGGGCCTTCGACAGGGAGATCCGATCTCTCCTTTCCTTTTTGTTCTCTGCGCAGAGGGTCTATCACATATGTTAAATCAAGCATCTCAAGAAGGCTTACTGGAAGGAATCAAATTTTCCACTGACGGTCCATCCATCCATCACTTATTTTTTTGCAGACGACAGTCTGTTTCTTTTTAAAGCAGACATCAACCAATGTCGAGTCTTTCAAAGAATACTCAACAAGTATGAAGATGCAACTGGTCAGATCATAAATCTATCAAAGTATTCTCTCACGTTTGGCGAGAACATTGATCCTGCTATAAAAGAGAAATACATGAACATCTGGGCATTTTTGCAGAAGGAGGTGCAAGTTCGTACTTAGGATTACTTGAATGTTTTAGCGGCTCAAAGATTAACCTTCTTAACTACATTCAAGATAGGATGAAAGGAAGAATGTCTTCTTGGTATACTAAATTTCTCTCTCAAGCAGGGAAAGAAATAATTTTGAAGTCAGTCGCTATGGCCATGCCTATATATGCTATGATGTGTTTTAGACTTCCTAAAACTACTTGCAAAAACCTAACTGCAGCTATGACAAATTTCTGGTGGCAATCTTCTGAAGACAAAGCAAAGATTCATTGGATGAGCTGGGATAAATTATGTATTCCAAAGGATAGAGGTGGAATGGGTTTCAAAGATATTGAAATCTTCAACCAAGCTTTACTTGCTAAACAAGATTGGAGAATAAACTACAACCCTACCTCCCTTCTAAGCCGTTTTTTCAAGAGTAGATATTTTCCAAATGATTCCTTTCTCTCAGCGGTCAAAGGAAGTAGGCCTTCTTATGCTTGGCGTAGCATTCTCTTTAGTAGGGAATTACTCTCTAGGGGCCTAAGGCCTATGGTTGGAAATGGTTCCTCCATCTCGGTATGGACATCCGCATGGCTGGTTGATGGTGACAGGATGCGTACTCCTCTAATGAAATTTTTTTTGGTGATTTAAACCTCAAAGTAAGTCACTTGTTGCTAAATGATTCAGCTAGATGGGACCAGCATCAGTTGAATGATCTTTTCTACCCAAACGATATCTCTATCATTAAAAACATCAAGCCGGTGATTACCTCTCAAGACTTTCATGTATGGAATCATACACGTTCTAGTGAATATACTGTAAAGTCAAGCTACTGGTTAGCAGAAAGAGAAGCTCAGAAGGATGCTTTCATTAATGGTAATGTGCAACCTTCTCTTAATGGTTTAAAGGATATCATTTGGTCCACTCCCA